CGAGCACGGCGTAATATATGACGTGTCTTGATCTGCTATTTTAATCGGCATTTTGTATGGCGTTATAAAATATATTTGTCTAGTAAGGCAATTTCAATAAGCATTTTGCACAGCGTTATACGAGACATATGTCTAAATCGGCATTTTGCACGGCATAATACCAGACATGTCTAGTTCTGCCATTTTAATCGGCAATCTGCACGGCATAATACCAGACATGACGAGTTCGGCTCTTTTAATCGGCATTTTGCATGGTGTTAAACAAGACATGTCTAGTTCGGCTATTTAAATAGGCATTTTTCACGCTGTTATACAAGACATGTCTCGTTCGGCTATTTTAATCGGCATTCTGCAGGCATAATACAAGACATGTCTAGTTCGGCTTTTTTAATCGACATTTTGCACGGCGTAATACAAGACGTGTCTAGTTCGGCTCTTTTAATCGATATTTTGCACGGTAGGATTAAAGACATGTCTAGTTCGGCCATTTTAATTGGCGTTTTGCACGGTATAATACAAGACATATGTCTACTTCGGCAATTTCAATCGGCATTTTGCACGGCGTAATACAAGACATGTCTAGTTCGGCTATTTTAATCGGCATTTTGCACGGCGTAATACAAGACATGTCTAGTTCGGCTATTTAAATCGTCATTTTTTACGGTGTTATACAAGACATGTCTAGTTCGGCTATTTTAATCGGCATTTTGCAAGGCGTAATACAACACGTGTCTTGTTCGGCAATTTAAAACGGCATCCTGCACGGTTTAATAAAAGACATGTCTAGTTCGGCTATTTTAACCGCATTTTGCACGGTGTTATACAAGACATGTCTCGTTTGGCAATTTAAGTCGGCATTTTTCACGATGTTATACAAGACATGTCTAGTTCGGCTATTTTAATCGGCATTTTGCACGGCGTAATACAAGACATGTCTAGTTCGGCTCTTTTAATCGACCTTTTGCACGGCGTAATAAAAAACATATGTCTAGTTCGACCATTTAAATCAGCATTGTAAACGACCGTATACGAGACGTGTCTAATTCGGCTATTTTAATCTTCATTTTTCACGGTGGAATTGCAACCTTGAAGAGTGGCAAACCTGTCGAGTGTGGTCATTTTAATCGACATTTTTACGGCAGAATAACAAGACGTGTCTAATTACGTCCATTTTTAGCGCACCTGCTCGAAGGGCAAGTGAGCTTATGCCGTACCGCGGCGTCCGTCGTCCGTCCGTTGTCCGGCGTCAACTTTTCCCTTTAAAAGCAATTGTCTCCTGAACGACTGATTGGATTTTAACTAAATTTGTTATGAATCATCCTTGGGACCAGGGGCTCAATGGATTTATGAAATAAGTGTGTGGCTCCTAGGGGGTTTAGTTAGGGGCCAAAAAGGGGAAAATTTAGAAGAAATCTTCTTCTCCATTTCGAGAAATGCAAAAGCCAAATATTACTCATTGTTGGGTGGTTTATAAAAAATGTGATTTTCATGTCTCCTAGCCCACTCGTTTGTTCCTGGGGAGGAGGTGTAGTTTAGTATAGTTTATATAGGAAATGCACATAATAGGCCATATCTTCCATTGTTTTGAACGGAAGTTGTTCATATTT